CGTCCTTTTTTAAACAGCGTCTTGTCGATCATCGTAGATCGCCCCTCCAGTAGTGTTATTGTTCCGATTTTCTCTCCGTTGTTTACTGAAGATGAAGGCTGTGACTCCAGTCCACCCACAGGACTCCTCCTCCAGCGGCAGCCAGCTCCACCTGCACTATCTGTCGAAGCAGAGTGTCAACATCGCCCGGTGCAGGATGGAGGAGGAGGACCTGTTCTGCCTGCAGTACGACATGAACGACTGCTACACCCGACTCAAGCGCCTCGTGCCCACCATTCCGCAGGATAAGAAAGTCAGCAAAGTGGAGATCCTCCAGCATGTCATAGACTACATCCTGGACCTGCAGCTGGCCCTGGAGACGCACCCTTCGCTCCACAAACAACAGCCACAGAGGACCGGGACCTGCCCTCATCCTCCGCCACCAGCCTCCAACCCCAGCCGGACACCGCTGACGGTGCTCAACACTGACCACCACCAGGTGAGATCTGTTTTTCCTACTGGATCTGAGCCTTCTCCTTCTTCCTCAAACAAAGCGCGTCATGCCCGTTATATGTGTCATTGTCCTTCCACGGTGTGATAGAACACGGACAATAATGTGATACCTCTCCATGTCTCATCCAGGGTTACAAGGGGGGAAATATAGAATGTGTTAAAAATGTATTTGGACTGCGTTACATTACGCACTTGATTGCGGGGGTTTCTGATTTGCATGATAATGGCAGTGTTCCAGAGGCCCCTCACCTTATCCCGGGTTGGTGAAGTACCTCCGTGTGTGCAGCCCACTCCACTGCGCACAATACGAGCAATTTGTTATTCAATAGGCTACAAGAGATTTTATTATGTTAGATATAGCTCAGCTCATTCTCTGCTGCTCTGCCGTGAATTATTTACTGTAGGTCCAAGGAGCCGGGACGCTTCACTTATTTTCTTCTTTCTTTGTTATTTCTCTTAGAGGACGTCAATAGTCAAAAAGCCAGAGGACTCAGTTTTATGCCGCTGAGACACAGGCACTGCATTGGTAAGTTGAACTATTTTATCTTTTTTTTTTTTTTTTAATGTTGATCAATTATATCTGGTCATGAAAAAGCACCACAGAGTGTAGTGGGCTGTGATGGTGTAGGCAGCTCAATGAATCTGATTAGACTTAACCAGTGTAGGCAATCCCAAAGATTAGATTGGGGCTCACAAATGGGTTACAGGAGATTAATCTGACAAACAGCGCTGAAAAAAAAGCTAACATAAACATGTACAAAAATAATAATGTAGAGATAAAATTAGATAGATATTTGGGGAAAAATTCAGTAATTTCTAACATCCTTTCCATGTGCCAACATACAGTTCTAGTGAATTATTTTTAATTATACATGCAGCATTTCTTAGCTCGTTTTGTCTGTCATTTATATGAAAACAGAGAACGTTCAAATTAAAGAAGCAGCTCTTTATGTTAACCTTACCGTATCAAATGAAATCATTATTCTTATTATCATTGCCATTGACTTCAGTCAGAACAACAACACTAATGAAGTAATTAAATGATACTATCAAACCACAAAAGAGGGTGAAATGTTAGGTATATTACTTGAAAATACTTTCTAGTTCCACAGTTCTACTGAGTAGCAGAAAATGTACACACTGTAGGTCATTAAATAACAATATAATACTTTTAATATAATCTTGATCTGTGATCGAATAGGGTCACAATTGTTTTTGTAAATTAAAAGTAGACATAACAAATACCACTAGAGAAATGTCACTGGGAAATATTTCCATTTATTGTAATACTAATAATATTGCAGTATTTCCAAAAGATTGGCTTGTAATATATATTTATTTGTTTGAATTATAATGAATGTTTTTTTTTCCAAAATTAGGTTGACAAAAAAATAAAAAATTCATGACCCTGACTTAAAAACACTGTCCATTAAATAGCCAAATTGAGCTTGTTTTGTAGTCCACAAGCTCATTTGTGTCTATAATTAAAAAAAAATTGATTTTGGTAAGAATATTTGTGTTAGGTTGATTTGTGTTGCGAGGCTTAATTGACATGAACACAGTGTAAAGAGTCTGGGAAAACACAGCCCTACTGTAGTGTGTACGTACTGTATGTGGTGTAAATGTGAAACGGTTTGTGGACGCTGTGATGGGGGATAAATAATAATTGAGGAACATGAAATTGGCACCGACCTCAGAGGCAGCTGCTGTGCTTTGCGCAATAACTGTCACTAGTGTGGCAACAATGTGAGAGGAAAAAGAAGAAGAAGAAGAAGAGACAGAGAGAGTGTTTAAAAGCTCAGCTTGTCCCTCTCTGTTACATTCAGGCTGCTGCTGTCAGATTTATGGCACTAAGTCTAAACACACCTGGATGAGACTCTCATGTTCTCTCTGTGAACATTTGGAGCTGCTGCTCCCAACAGCCCGAGGACGAGCTGCTGTGTGGTTTGTTGTGTGTGTGTGTGTGTGTACACACGAGTATGACCTGGTTTGTTTTGGGTTGTTGATCAAGCGTGGCCTCTGTTTTGTCGGTGGCGCCACTCAGTCTGGGAGTTTTGTGCACTTCACCCTCCCATCAACCTCAGCCTCAACCTCACCCTGCCATTCCCCCCTTCACAGGTGTGCAGGCTGAACAGCAGAGCCGCTCCAAAGTCAGCAAAAGCTTCGCCAGCGACTCACACCCAAACCCAACTGGAGGCACAATCGCAAGGGGATTTCAAAACCGCTGGGAGGAATTAAAAGCCCAAATAAAGTAACATTCACATCAACCTTTTCCCTTTTCAGTTGTTCCCATTGAAGAAGGAATCACTGTGCAGACACCTCCCTGCCCCGACTCCTGTCCAACTGGTTCTAGCTTCATTTCTTCCCACTTAAAGAAAAGATGGACTCCTCTCCCCTGTGCTGAGAAGAACTGTCAGTGAATTGTGCTTAAAGAAAATAGATAAAAATGACTCCAGTTTAAAGCTTTACTAAACTGCGAAAAAAAATCATTGTATATTGTTGTTTTTTTTTCCAACATCTATTGTTTAAAATAGATGCTTTGTGTTGAGCAGGGATCTGATCCCTGGAGTCTGACAATGTTTCATACTGTAAAGAACAACGATTCTGATTGGAGACGATTACGATTGTACATAAAGAGACGTAAATGTTCTATGAAAAGTATGTGAAAGGAAAGGACTTCTATGTTTAAAATAGATTATTGCAATTATAAGGATATTTTTATCGAATCTCTTTTTTTGTTGTCGTTGTTGTTGTTCTGTACATATTGTGTTTTTTCTGCTCTGCCAGTGACATGACAGTCTTTCTCAGTTTTTTTTTTCTCTTTGCAGTGTTTTTGGAATAGTTGAATATGTAGCATGTGCTGCTCTTTCTGCGGAGATGTTTGAACGTGCACTGAAGCAGCTCTCTGTGTGTAGATACTGTCTGGTGGAGTTCAACACAAAAATGTTATTTGGCCTGTTCAGCCCTGTGTTGGATTAGTTTTTCATTCATTCGTTTTCACCGTCTCCTGCTGATTGTTTTCGTTTTATTTTACGCTGAATTGGAAGAAATATCTACAACACGGTGAAATGTTCCTGCACGCAGAGTTGGTTCTGGAGAAGTTAATGATTAAATCATAAATTTAAGCTTCAGTCGTGGACAGATCAAATCTGTGTGAGACTCTTAATGAAAAACCTTTCATGTAATTTATTCAGTTCTGTGAGTTTATATACATTTAATTTCTTTTATTGAAGATTCAGCAGCCATCGTTGTGGGGGGAAAAAAACAGAAAAGAAACACACACACACACGTTTTATTTTTAATGACGTTGAATGCCGAATTTACCTCACCGCCCTCCTGCCAGTGTGAGAGGGGCACTTGTACATGACTGTCAGCTGCACTGTTGGACTTTACCTTCACTGGCCTGTGAGGAGTTGTCAAAACAATTAAAAGTTTCCAGTAAAAATGGTCTGGTCTCACCTTCTTGTCTGCAGGCGCGGCTGCAGGTTTTATTTCTCTGCTCTCTCAGATGAAGAGTAATGAGGAAGAAGTCGTGCTGCGGACTCTTCTCACTGAGCTTTATAACTAAGAAACTACTTAAAGGAAAATTGGAGAGTCACTGTCACAGCTCAGACCAGCTGTGCATGACTCAGGGACCAAGTGTTTTGAAGAGGACTTTAACTAATCCTGCCACACACACAGTCACCAAGTCACTGAGTCAGCAGAAACACAGGAAGAAGAAAGAGCCTAGAACCTGACATCGTTTTAATCATGGTTAAATCTCACTGTGTCGTTGGTTCATGTTGGTTGCAACTGCAAAATAATCACCTTAAAAATAAATAAATACGTCAGGTCTCGTGATGAACAAATAATTTAGATGATCAGAATCTTGTTTTTGTTACATGAACAAAAAATGCCTAAACTGGACCTTTATTTCAGTGAGTTTCGTCGGTAATGTAAAGTTAATATATTCAATCATATCAAAGTTAACATTGATGTTTAATTATTATACTGTTATTATTGTGGTATTATTGACACCGTCATTGATAAAGAACCATAGATGCAAGTAACCACTAATAATTTAAACTTTAAACTTGGAGTGGAAATGTAGAAAATAATAATAATCAACAGTCAGTACAGTAAAGTAGTTTCATAAAAATACAAAACAAATGTGCAGTGAAACTAAATAATAACCAAATTAAAACTGCTAACTAAAGAAACTTGCACCATTTCCTGTGCAAGGCCTCTGGTCGGGTTAACGTTTGCCCACAAATATAATTATTTTTGTTTTAAATATTCAACATTAGTGGTTTTTTATATGTGTACTAATTTTAAAAAATATCGAATTAATGGATTTAACACATGAAAGAATTTTAACTTAATCATGGTTCACGATTTCAGAAATAAAGTTGAACAACGTTTGCGCCTGTGTGTGTGTGTGTGCTCAGGTGTGTGTGTGTCTATGTTTTCCCTGAATTGCTGTCATTTTCCCACACAGCTGTAGACACACTGAGCCTTGTTTTGTTGTCTTTCTCTGGACCTGCAGAATGTGGGCGTAGAGTTGTGGATTCACACATATACGACCTGCATCTGTGTGTGTGATGGTGTGTTTGTGTGTGTATGCGTCAGTGTATGTGTGTTTACAGTCCACAGAGAGAGGCCAGTGTGTTGTGACCTTGTGATATAAAGGCATGTGTGAAAAACTGAAAAAAAAAATTGTCAAAACACATGTGGCCTGTTGGACGGTGGAGCCTCCTGATTGGATATAAAGACTCAGTGTAAAATCAGTTTTCTCTTACTTGTATATATGTACAATGCATTTGTAATACATGTATAATAATATTGTTTCTCTACTGGCATTTAAGATGCACGTAATTTTAAAGAAACGTCACAAAGTTACAATGTGTTACAGATGTTCAACATTGTTTGATTTTAAATTGCAATTTGTTTTGGCAGCTTTTTCCACCAGACACGTGACTCCTTACATTCTGTGATCTTTTCAGACACGTGCTCAGTTAAAAACCTTTCACACTGCTGCCCTGCTGTCCTCTTACAACATCCAGGAAATGCAGAAAATACAACTTAGACATTTTACTTACTACATTTGTGAAAGAAGGGCAAAGGTCATGACATTTAGTTATCGCTGGTCACAGCGCTGGTCGCTGGTAGTAATGTGTCACTCCATGATAACATACTGGTCACATGTAGTAATGTGTCACTCCATGATAACATGTTGTCCATTTCCTGTTAAAACTGAAATTTGACCTAAAATGCTGCAACACGGTGCAGAGAAGGAGACATGTTAGAACTTCTACTAAATCAGTATTATTATTAATACTGAGGCTGATTTGACTGTGAGAAATACTCGCAGCACTTACACTGCAGCCCTGACTCCGTGACATCATGGTTTCATGAATAGAAACTTTATATGAAGAAAAGGAAGCAGGGATGATGAAGATGCTGGACCACATTGGTCGACCTGTTTTCTGCCCTCAGGCCGAGGACACAGGAGTGATGAACTGACCTTGTTGCTTCACAGGAAAATGTCATTATGAACACACTGGCATTATTATGAAAAGAGTGGATTGTACAGGCCCGAGGTGTCCTTTTTAAGAGGGCCGTGATGAAATATGTAAAAAGATACTCAGGGGCCAACTTCTCCTTTCTGTGATAGTGAAGACAAATGCACACAATCTTCATGAATTTAACTGTAAATCTAAGTGAAATAAAGGCCTGTAAAGATTCAAAGTTTTAGGTTTATATGTTATATCTGTATGTGTCAAAACAGACAACAACTCAAAAATGTCAAAGAAAACAGGGAAAATGTTTTTTTTTTTTAAATATATACAAGTTGACACAGAAATACAGTAAAATACCTAGACGGTAGACAGTAAAGTATATATACAGTAAGACAAATAATAAATGAGACATACATCTAATTTTGAAAAGGAGAAACACTCAAAGTAAATGTTAGCTCAGTCAGTTAGTAAATCTATTTACGAAATTGGTGAAAGATAACAAATAATTACTAACTAACGATTACTTGATATGTGTCTCAAAATGTCTGAAAAAATAGATTAACACAAAGCTGATAGTTAGCTAAAACTTCATCAAAAATTCACACCTACAAATTTCTCAATTTTCCTCACCCTTATGATGTAGGCCATGAAAAATAACATAACAGTTTGTGTTCCTTCTTCCTGTTCTGCATTTTACTGAAACATAAAATCAAAGTTAAGAACATCGCTTCTTCCACCTGTTAGTAATAGAACTTTTCCGGCTCACACTTTTGTGCCGTTGTGTGCACGCTGAGCAGACTGTACGTCGCTGATTGCGCTCGTACTCACAATAATGCTTCTTCTGCAGAAAACACACAACAGCCCATGATTCCAGACGCATTAAATAAAGCTGCCTGTCGGCGGCTCTGCCTTGAATTAACCTTTTGCATATGTTAAACTGCAACAACAGGTTATGCAGTAGTGTGTCACCTCCCTCTCTCCCTGATTTAACTGCACATTATGGAGTTCCACGGGGGCCTATATCCCCACGTGTTAATCACTGCTCTTCCCCGCGTGCAGAGAAATATATGGCGGGTGCTTGCAGAGGAACGGCGGAGGACAAAAACGTGCTCACTCCTGGACACTACTTGATTACAGACTAATTGGCCCAGAGTGATTAAATATCTCATGCTTCTTCGTAATTGCTGCTATTTAAAGCAGCTATTAGCTTAAAACGCCTGCCACCAACAGCCATTTACACATAAACAAAATGTGAGATGCAGCAGTTCACCTGTGCTCCTGTTTCCACGGAAAAAACAACACACACGCAGTGAAAGGAAACTCCTTCCTGCATTAAGACTGAACAAAACCTCCAATAAAATAATAATAAGACAATAATGTCATTCAAACTTCACTGGTTTAACAATTGGAATATATTTGAAGGTCAGGAGACGCTTAGCAAAAAAAACATGAATGTTGTGTCAGAATGGTAAAGTGAATGCAATGGGCTTTATGTTTATGTCTTTACTAGTTTATGAGTCTCTTTACAAGATTGCTAGTGAAACACAAGAGCTAAAATTAAACAAAACGCGGTCCATACATATTATTGATAAATTCTCTATATTAGAATAATGTAATTTTGCTAATAGAAAACAGAAATAGTTTAAATGATATAAATATGTTGCTATAAGTTAGCCCAAAAATACAGTTAAATTAGAGCTAACTCAAGAATGTAAACATAATATAAAAGATAGCTCAAAATATGTACATGAAAGTTAGCTAGCTAAAGGTTAGCTCTCCCTAAATTCAACATTTGCTCATTTCAAGAAATCCACCAATTAGAAACCTCCAGAACAAATCAAATAGAGGCAAGAGCAGTGGTTGAGATGTGTCTGTCCTTTTTCCCTCATGTCTGCTTTTCTTAGCTGATTGGTGTGATCACACTCACCTGTGTCCTGTTTATTAGCCTCAGCCACGTCACCTGGTGCCCTAGGTATATATACCTCCCTCTGACTCAGTCCTGGTTGGTTCATTGTTCTGTTCAGTGTATGTTGTTGTGCTGTGTTTCTGCTCTTCTCTCTTCCTGGTTATTCCTGCCTGGCTCTGGTATCAAATAAGTTGATCGTTTTTAGTTTGAACTCTAAAAACTTCCTGCAACTGAGAATTCTCTCTCGTGTGCTGCACGTGGGTCCTACCCACTTCCTGAGTCCAAAAGCCGTGATAAAGTGAGCATCAGGAATTATAGAACCCGTTACTGAGGGCCATAAATAATTTATTTTAAAGAAGGAGAAGAGGACCGCATAAAACCTGCCCCAGTGCCACATTCGGTCCTCGGGCCACACCTTAATAACAGGTTATTAGTGTTTTCATTGTTTCTCATCTGCAGTGGAAAAATTAATGCTAATCTCTTTTCTCTTGGATGTCGAACAGATGTACATTTTCTCTGATACCTAATTAATCCTAATTATCTTCCTGACAGTTATGACTTATGCACAATTATTTCTTCATTTGTGAGTATTAATGGTTCCTCTCTTCACATTCTAATATATGAGAGGAAAATATTAATCCTGTGTGGATCAGTCACTTTAATTATGCAGCCAGAGCAGACAGTAAACACTCAGACATTTTCGGGCGCTCTGATTGATGCAGGAGATTTAATAAATGAAGCTGCGTCAGCCGAGCCTGAGTGAAGGGCTCAGGTAGGACAACAACAGACACTGACAGAGGAGAAGGAGGGCGAGAGGCTCAGAGGGAGGTGAAACCAGGATAGACAGAGTGGAGGAGATGGAAGGAGGAGGGAGGAGGACTTGGCATCACCGGTGCCAACTGTGGCTCCCGGGAGACATGCGATGAATTACAGAAATGAGATCTGAGACAAATGCCAAGCTTTTCCAAAGAGCGGCGAGAATGTCTGCGCAACCCCTTCCCCGGAGAACACAGTGATTATGAGAGGTGGGGGGGGGGGGGG